GATCATGTTTGTTCGTCATGATTACTATGCCATGTGTTTTTTTAACCCTAATAAGGCCGGGCTATTTGAAGTCTTAGTAGGGCCGGGGGGGGGGGGCCATTATGGCCCCCCCCCCTCAAGATCTCGGCCGCGAAGCGGCCGTTTGCCGCGAAAATTTGCACGCATGTCAAGTGAAGTGTAAAGAATAATATGATAATTTCAATTTTTTGAAAAATTCACTCATTTGCATATTTATGGTAATTTATGCAAATAAAGTCATAAAAATCACATTTTTACCAATAAATCATATATTATTCATATTTAAGCATTCTTTTTCACTAGATATATTCATAAGACCATTCTGAATAATAATACGAAAAAAAATTGGAAGAGCCAGCTTATTTCTTATGTTATCCCTTGTTTTGATAATTTCTTATGTATTTCACTGTTTTTTTAACTTATGTATTTCATTGTTTTTGTTGTTTTATTTCATCTTTTACTACAATTCAACTATTTTGACTCCCAAAACAACCACCTAAACTTTAAACAAGACCCAATAACCCATGTTTGATCTGTTTTTTAGGAAAAATGACTTTGCCATACGTTTTGTACACAAATCACGAAAATGAGCGATTTTCAGGCTGACATGCGAAGACAAAAGGTCACGTGACCTTGTAACCGTAGGTCCGATTTTCAAAATAATTATTTTAAAAGTTGCGCAAGACTCGAAAGAAGAAAGTCAGCGAGCGGCGGGGCGCCATCCATATGCGTTCCCGAGCAATCGGAAAAATTGTGGAGGGGGGGGGGGCATAATGCCCCCCCGGCCTTATTAGGGTTAATAAACTAAACTGAACTTAACTATCGTCACACAATGGAAATCTAGCATGTTCGCATGAGATACCAACTATTTACTGTTTTACCCAAATCTGGCTATAAAACGAATCTTGACCTTCTGTTTCAAATGTTGCTTTTAAGAAACGTGTATAATTTTAAAGGACAATAATTATGATTGAAAGATAGACAGATTGAGAACAATCTTTGTCATAATCGACTCACAACAGAATACTTTTACAATGCTTTTTATCAAAATTATCATTTTTTCCACACCAGATCAAACCTTGACTTCCATGAAATGATGTAAATAATAATGTACACTTTAGGATAACTGTTATGGAAACTGTCTCACTGCTATCCTAACTACATGTAAACACTCAGTCTCTCTTAATGTCTGCTCTCTCATTTCGTACGAGGCTCTAGTCTCCCTCGTACATCAACCACACAAGACCACCGGTGATTCTAACAAGAAAGATGAGTCGATGGATTTCAGTTCCAATCATTAACTTTTATTTTAGGAAGAAAGGCACCTCTTAGCAATGTTTTGATTATGTCAGATCAGACACAAATCAGGTGCAATTTTGTTGTATTAAACTCATACCATTTAAGAACACTCAATGTCAATTTTTTTTTTACAAGAGAATAATTCTATTTAAAAAATGATAATTTGTTTTTACAGCATATCTTGACTTCCATGAAATGATCTATTTAAATATGTTCGCTTTTAGGAATTCATATCGTAAGAAGTATGGCATTATGAATGGGATATGAATAAGAAACACCTTGAAATCCCTACATATATAAAGAGAACTAACCCACCATCTAATAGCACCAGACTGATAAGTAGAAAGATACAGATACTTGTTTAAATCATATACAATGTCTACACTTGAAGTAAAACATAGAAATATGCTTAAAACACGCTTAAAAAAATGTAATAACAATTCTGAGTAAGTGCTTTCACCCTTTCCAGTTTAGAACAATCTTATGTGTACAATTCTAAAAAAATACAACGATTTATGAAATAAAATAATTGATGATGATTTGTTTTCACACCGTATAAAACTTTGATATTCAAGTAGGTATAGCATTGTTCATTGGACATGTCGAATAGGAACAGAAAGAAAATGACACCATACAATTATGAAGTATAAACTCATCACCTGTTTTTTAATAAACGGTCAATTAGAAATAGACACGGATTACAAGTACTTGTATGACTATCTACAATTTAAACGATTGAATAAAAGATACCGAATAAATGAAACCATTTTTAAAAAGCAAAGTGCATGTTATAGATTTGATTAAAAAAACTGACTTATTTTCCTTCTAGCCATTCTAAAACAGTCTATTTACAATTCTGTAGGAAGAAAGATATTTTACTATAATTTACAAATAAGGCACTGTATTCCAAGAAATTAATCTTAGTTTTCAACGTTATATGTTATAGGTTTGATAAAAAAAAATGACTTATTTTCTTTCTCCGCCATTTTAGAACAGTCTATGTACAATTCTGTTAGAAGAGAGGAAATTTACAATATTTTTACAAATCAGGCACTGTGTTCAAATAATTGATTCTTTGTTTTCAACGTTGCTGGCTTGGCGCCTCCTTGGGTTTGGGAATCTACACGCATTATGCATGTGATAAGAATGAGAATAATATATATATTTTTTTTTTAGCTGACGGCTAAGAAAGCACGTGTGTTCTTGTAAGTAACCAACAAGCAACAAGGAAACCAACGGCCTTAATTCCTCTCCGAAGGACTTACTATAGCGCTTAAGCGCATCGACTCTTCAAACCTGGACCTCTCGGTTACGAGTACACTGCTCTACCGCTGAGCTAACATGACTCCGTAAACGAATTTTTGTATTGATACAAAATGAACCCAACCAGTGTTGCTAATAAATTGAGAAATATGAAGATAATTCATATATAATGTAGATACTGTATAAACAAAACGCTTATAGAAACAGGTTTAATGATAACAAATATTATTGGTTGCTCTTTTATCCAGAGAAGCCACATCGGAATAAATGCAGTATACCTGTCAGAATGGCAATTTGTGTTTCAATGTCCAGCCAAAATACGTTAGTGCCGGCTAGGATTCGAACACTCGGATTGAGAGTCAAGTGAATGCACCACTATACCACAACACCTCCACGCTTAAAACACTCTTTTAAAAAACTTACAAATTAATTCTGAATAAACATTTTCACATTATCTCGATTAAGATCAATATATAATTCATTAAATAAGACAGTGTTTACAATACGTTTTGTATATTAAACGCTTCATTCATAGAAATTATATTTAAAGACATTGTCATTCGTTTTATTAAATCATTTTAAACTTTGATTTCCAAAGGCAATATGAGTCAGTGAGATGGAAATCCATATTCAAGCCCCAATATCATAAATATCAAGAAAAATTGCTGGAATATATCATAAGGTTACCGTTGATAATAATGTCTTGCTTTATTGATAGGCTACTCATCGAAATGCGATCATGGATGACAGAGCACTGGCCAAATTTAAAAAGCATTTCAAAATCGAATTTGCCCAAGTTTGTGATAATTTTCACGAATTATTTTGATAATTTTTATGTGAGTGCATTCAATTGTAATGAATACCATTCAAATAAATCTTGGGTTGAGCATCCATTTCATTAAAAACATTGGCAGCTCAAATGGCCATGCTACTGTTCAACTGTCCATGTGATTTCATTGAAAATGTGACAGGCTACTATTTGTGTATCCCCGGCCAAATCTATAATTATGTTGTGAGTGCATCAATATTTAATACGATAGCAACTACTTAAGAAATATTAACCAAAGGCAATTTCAATAGCCTTGTGCGTCACCTATTCAGATGTACGAACGTGACAATGAGTATTAAGTAAACATGATTTCCATAGGACATACAATAGGGTATTGAAATTCCCTTTGAGTTGAATTTTCTTAAATAGTTGCGGTCGTGTTATTTATAGAATTGAATCTGTATTTCTTTGTTGTGACTCACCCTGTACATATGTGATTTCATTTGTTACATATTGATGCGTGGAAATATTAACTATGGTTAGATATGTACAAAAAAATGACATAATGAAATTAGGAACTATGGATACGGAATAAACTCATCACCGGTTTGTCATCAAAATAATCTGTAAATGCAAAGGCCTATAGAAACTATATACAAGGTACATAACTGAAGTGAAAACGTAAAGAGAAAAAAAATCTTTAAAATGATATAATTATCTGACTAAAACTAACATACCTTCTTTCTACACCATTTTAGAATAGTCTGTATGGTCTATGTACAATTCTGTTACCAGATAAGACATTTACAATACTGTGTGAATAAGGCACTGTATTGATCATTTGCTTTCACAGTCAAATACATTTTTATTTCCAAATATGTCTACATGTTAACGTTGTTAGGTAGGCCCCTATTGACAGTTGTAAATCTATCACAATGCTCACTAGGCGTGTTTATACAATGTAAATAATCAAAATAGAAAAAACTTAGAACATTCCTTATAAACTTAAGTATAAATTCTGATTGTATATTATCAACCCTTTCTCAAATCAGTATAGTCTATGTACAATTCAGTCACAAGAAATTTATATTTATAATATTTTGTAAACGATACTAAGTTTACGAAATATTCCTTTGTTTTTGCACCATAATACATTTTGACTTTCATACATATATGTATTCTGAACACCAGTGGTATGTACAGGTTAGGAAGGTATGAAAATAAATCAAATTCATATTCAGAATTCGCATAAAGCTAACATAATTATATAAGATACATGTATATAACAACGGCAAGAATATGAGATAATGTATGGATGCTAGACATAACAGAATCGCAACTACTTTCGAGAAATCAACTTGTTTGTTTGGTTTCGACAAAAGTCATCGTTTAATAACGTAGTGCAGAATAATTGAATATTACATTAACACATATTTCCAGACATTAAAAAACTACTTTTCAACACATAAAAAAACACTCATGTATGATTCCAATTGCAATAGCCTCGTCCATCACCTCTAGAAATATGTGAACATTAAAATGACGTATTACACAGTCCGAACATGATTCATGTAGGAACAGTAGGATATGCATTAGGCTTCTGAAATTGCCATTGGGTTGAATTTTAGAAAGAAGTTGTGATCATGTTACTCGTTTGTCAAGTAAATTCATGAATGAATTTAAATAAAGCAGTCATTTATTGATTTTACTGTTGATTGTTTTTTTTGTAAGACGATGTTAATCTTATTCCTGATTCCTTCAGTAACTCGTCCAGGTCGTTCAGTTTCTTCCCCGATTTCCACCCGCTCAGTAGTTGCTCGTAGGTTGCATTGTAATTGGAATCATTCGAGTCTAGGAGGTTCAGAGAAATGTTGCGATCAAAGTTAAAGGCTTCGCAAATCGGGTCGAAATGATTTATACCAAGTAGTTTTGACAAGTTCTTGATATGTTCGTTCGTCACCTTCTCTGCATCTACAATGAAATAAAGGAAACTTACTAAATAGAATATTATCAGAGCTCGTAATGACCGAATAAATATGAATGCATTGAAATTTAAAGCAATTTTTACAAGGATTATAGCACAAGTTTGTTTCCTAATTTAGAATTAGTGTTTTTTGAGGAATTTATTTATTTAGAGAGTTATAATAGGAAAAGTTTTCAGTAGACAGCTTACATACTGATTATAATGTCACGAGTTGAATGAGCTGATCACTTTGTAAGACAGTGATTAAACTAAAGGCTTTAACGAAATGTTTATCATGGAACGACGAAGAAAAACAGCCTCGAAAGAATACAACGGAGGGTTTGCAAAATTATTTTAGGCTCTAATTTTATGTCATATTCACATGCATGTCAAGTATGCAATTTAAGTACACTTGAGGAAAGAAGACTAGTACTGTGTATAAAATTTGCAAAATCTTTAGCAATTCACCCAGCATGCCAGAACTGGCTACCTCCAAAAAAAGAAATTAGAATATCATTACGTCAGACTCCTACATATCATAATTTCAAATGCAAAACCAATCGCTTCAAAAACAGCCCTTTACCATATTTGATCAATCTAATTAACCATAACTAAATGCTTTTTTAACTACGTGTTAAATTTCAAACACAGTACTAGTCTTCACCTCAGTCGTCTTTAGTCTTAAAATCCAATGTATTCATTCTAAACGAGAGTATAAAACTTTGTTTTGTTATTCTTAACGTGTAATGTTATTTTGAATGTATTTTTAACAAACTTTTTAACGTGTAAATATTTAAAAATGCAACATGTCACTTTATTATGTCAACATGTACACATGAATAATCCAGCTTCTGCTGCTTTTCATGTAAAATGACAATTATCATGCATGTATTTTGAAATTACATAATAAACCATTATTGAATTGAATTGGAATTGAAGCGATTATCATAGCGTATTGAGAGATGTAGTTGTGACACGCGCACGCGTACGCACTCAATGTTCAAGTCATAAAACGCAGAAGTAGTTCCCTTCCATATAATTGTTTGTGAGAGGGAAGTATTTGGAGCTCGCTGAATTGAGCTTTGATCGAGTACGTGTGCGCGTTTCTCAACTGTCTCTCCCAGTACACAATGACAATAACTATAATGCAGTGATCATATTGATTTTGCTTTAAGGATGGGAACGAAACAAACTGTTTTAGTTGTTTTGATCAGCGTAAAACTCATACCAAATATAGCCTTTACTGCACAAACTATACATTTAAAATTGTATTACAAAACTCATCTTAACCTTCACATATCTTGTTATTAAAAATCTCATGTTTTTAGACTATTTTTAGTCGATAAATCAATTAGGCGTATTGCAGATTTCGTACCTTCCGGGTTAAAAACGTTATCAGTAAAGACGTTCAAACTCATCGATCCCATCGCGGTTGACGCCTCTGAAACACTTGCAGAACCTATGTACACAGAAAAATAGCTGTAAATTACCATCTGGTTCAATTGTCATATTGTCTAAAATCTTTACGTCCAACAATTTGTTTCTCCATTAACCACTTTTTCCAATAATCATTAGCGTCATGGCGCTTTAACCAACAAAACAACTATTATTACGTCTTTTATATCTCTCTTTGTGTGTGTGGTGCATGTGCTAGTTTGGATGCACCCCCCTGATTATTATCTGAGTCCGATATCCATTCGATCAGATAATTCCTGACGGCAATTTATTTTGATATAGAAACACATTGAACAATCCAAATGATAATCTACAACAAAGTTACGCCATAGTGCACTGAGAGAGGTATTTGTGACACGCGAACACGTACTCGATCAAAGCTCAATTCATGAAGCTCAAAATAGTTTCCTCCGACATACGGAAATATGGAAGGGAACTACTTCAGAGTTCCATGACTTGAACCTTGAGTGCGCACGTGTGCGCGTGTCACAACGTTCTCTCTCAATACGATATGGCGATTACTCTTGTGCACTGATCCTATTGATTGTGCTTTAATTTTTGAGAAAAAAACACAAAACCATCTTCTTCTTTTTTTACCTAGCGTAAAATCCATACAAAATCTAGACTTTACTGCCAAAATTATACATTCAAAATTGTATTAAAATGTATTCTCTACTACCTTCAGATATCTTGTCATTTATAAACTCTGTGTTTTTAGACTACTTTTTAGTCTGTAATTTAGGCGTACTACACATTGTGTACCTTCCTGTTTAACAATGTCATCAGTAACGACGTTCAAACTCACTACATTTATTTGATTGGCTGAGAGCAAAATTGCCATACAAATTTAGCATTTGATATTGATAGCAAGTTTGAACAAACAGGGCCCAGAATGTATTGTTTGAAAATGTTGATTATTTGGCATATTGACCTACCCATCCCCATTCCTGTTTTTTGACGAAATGGGATTAGACGGAAATAAAATATACCAAATGAAATAATAGACAAACGGGAACATAATGCTTGGACCAAATTGGAACTGGACTAATTCGGTTTAGAACACTTGATAATCGAAAAAATGTATTTGAACCAAATGTGTATTGGACCAAAGGGCAAATAATTTAGATTTGACGAAGTGGCCATCTTAACAAGTGGCTATGGGCCCTGTCGGATAATTGACTAGCACGATGATTGTCCGAAACCAAGTGGCATTTGATCAATCGGCAATACACAATTTATTTTGATTGAAATTCGTTCAGTTATATGATCAGGAAAATTTGCTGAATATGGTTCTACAATCTGCGTGAGGCGGGGTCAATAGTTCACCATTTAAACAATTAAAGACAAAAATTACATCGTATTAATTTATATGGGGAAATTTTAACCAATATCTTTAAACAAATATATGGGATAAATACCACTTAAAACTAGAGTATTATGACGGCTCTGTCTCTATAAATACATCGATTTTTGACATGATATAGCCGCCCATGATCACTGTTAAAATGCGAATCATACCTTCAGGAGATGCCTCTTTCCTCTGTGCTTGTTCACGCTTGAGAAACCGAACTACATCAAGATGACCAAAGTGTGATGCAACAATAAGTGGAGTGTTACCAAAAATATTGCACCTTTCTATCTGTGCTCCTTGACCAACGAGGTACTGAACTACATCAAGATGTCCATTGCTTGATGCAATGTAAAGAGGTGTTTGACCCTCATTATCTCCCCTCTCTACCTCTGCTCCTTGACCAACGAGGTACTGAACTAAACCAAGATTTCCACTTTGTGATGCAAAGTGAAGAAGTCTTACACCACCATTATCTTCCTGCTCTAACTGTGCTCCTTGACCCACGAGATACTCAACTACGTCAAGATAACCATGAAGTGACGCAGTTAGAAGAGCTGTCCTACCATCTTTGTCAGGCTTATCAATATGTGCTCCATTAGAAATGAGAAACTTAATTACATCAAGATGACTTTTCTGTGATGCAGCGATAAGTGGTGTCGAACCATTATTATTGCCCGCCTCTATATTTGCTCCTTGACTAAAGAGGTACTCAACAATGTCAAGACGACCCTTAAATGATGCAACAATAAGTGGGGTCTCACCATGTGTAGTAAACGTCTCTACCGGTGCTCCTTGACTAACGAGATACCGAACTACATCAAGGTAACCATTGCCTGATGCAGAGTGAAGAGGTGTCTCACCATACGTATTATCACACGTGTCAATCTGTGCTCCTTGTCCAACGAGGTACTTAACTACATCAAGATGACCTTGAGATGATGCTAAGAGGAGAGCCGTCGCACCAAAATCTTCATTAGGCTTCTCAATCTGTGCGCCTTTACCAACACAAAACTTGACTAAATCAAGATGACCTTCTGAAGCTGCCGTACGAAAGGCTTTATTGACCTCAACACGTTCATTTGCTGATCTTCCAGCCATGTTTTGCTTTGTCTGTGGACCCAATTGAGAAGCAAATCTTATAGATACTTTTTCGTTCTAGACCTTATATATCGTGTTTGTCAATTCAGTCACCTTTGCGTTCTGTAAATCGTTCTTGGAAGAGACTAAATACGTCAATGAAGTTCCGCTCTACAGGTTGAGAGGCGAATATCTTTCCGTTTTAATCTGCAGGTTTAAACTATTCGAAGCCTACTAATGATCATGCATTGGAAACTACGGCAGATAAATGATTTCAATTTATTAAAGAAATACTTGCGAGCATAATTCAAATGTTATGATTAAAGAACCCGTCTCGGACAGTCCTGGCGCTGTCAGTACAAGTTTGATATCTACAATCTCCAAGTCTGATTTCCTTCACATAACCAACGTTCTACGGTCCATCCAAATATAACATCAAAGGTCTGTCGCCTCAAAATGAAATTGTAGATTGTCCAATCACTTGACAAATAAGTGTATGAAGATGTTCTAAGATACAGGAATTCTTCTTAAAACTTAGCTCTCTGCTTTTTATCCGAAGAATTTTCCTTGTGTTTGATGGTATATTTAATACACAAATGTAAAAGCTAAATAATTCAATTTTGTGTGCTAACAGCCTCCCAATCATACTAATCGATGGAACAATAATGGATAAAATGGCGGATACTTTTGTGAGAAACCGGTGTTGTTTTTTTAGAACATATTCATGATAGTACGTCACAATGACCTCATCTAGGCTTTGATGGAATGTAATTCAAAAGTACAAACGAAAAGAGAAGATATGCATGGTTGACTATTTAGAATGAGCCGAAACCAGCTAGTCGCAACGATATTTACTGACAATTCCTTTTATTTTGGAGCTTACCCCATTGGATTGCAGCTTCTTGCATTTCCCCAATAAACGTCAACATATGTGTAAATACTAACTGAAAATCTCTTTAACATTCTGTATTTAAAATAGAATGTTCATTCACAATTATCATGCATAGATTAGAGGCACAATTCATTTTAGGTTTGCATAACGGCGTCTGCCTTCTAAGACTAGTTTTCATACATACATATACGTGTACTTTATACGCGCCCACTCACACACATAATGCATGTTTAAATATCCTAAATTTTCTCTACATGTATTCATGCTTCATTCTGAACTCCGAAAGACTACTTGAAAAAATCAATCAGTCCATCAGCTTGTAACAGAAAACTGAGTAATCTCATCCTGCTGACTCATGAACTTGGAAAAATGTAAACATTATGTTTCATTGTATTATGTTATGTACTACGTTCTAAGTGAACATTTAAAAAAGACCTGCTTACTCCTAATAGTAAGTTATCTGGATTGAATTTGTATTTCCCTTTACTTTCCTTGAGGTGGTATGGAAAAGGACCAACACAAATTAAACATTCAAGATAGGCCTATTTAAGTTTGCCACGGTTTGGTTAATAACTTGCAAAGGGATATATTAAGCAAATAATCACCGTTGGTGAAGGTGATGGGACAAACTATTACTTCCGAGGCGATCTTGATGTAGCTATCGTTTCGAAGCGAAGCTAAGGAAAGATAGCGTATACATTCAGATCGCCGAGAAAGTGATAGTTTGCCATCGCCTGAAGCCAAGAGGTGATTATTTGCTTTATATTCCACATCGGAAACATTTCGCTTCTTCCGTCATTTAAGAGCAACAAGTCATCAATTAACAGCTAGCAAACGGTGTACGAAACGTACAGTGTCTGCAGTATGGTGGTACTTGTGACCAAAGTTTGCGTAAACACTAAAAGCTCTTAAAGAGGAGAACAATACGCAACGTATACAATTAGAGTGCGTTGCACTATGTAGATAATACTTCTATCTTCAGTGAAAATGCGTTGCACTGTGTAGATAGTACTAGTGGATAACCACCCTCTAGGAGAACTACCCCGAACAACTACCCCCGGACAACTAACCCCAGCCAACTACCCCCTGGGATAGTTGTTAGGGGGGTAGTTGTCCGGGGTAGTTGTCCTAGGGGGTATTTGTCTGGGGTAGTTGTCTAGGGGGTAGTTGTCCTAGGGAGTAGTTGTCTAGGAATAGTTGTCCGGGGGTAGTTGTCCTAGGGGTAGTCGTCCTAGAGGGTGGTTGCCTAGGGGGTAGTTGTCCTAGGGGATAGTTGTCCGAGAGGCTGGTTATCCTAGGGATGGTTGTCCGGGGTGGTTGTCCAGGGGTGTAGGTCCATAAAAATAGGTGTAAATTACCATTCTTACAATATATAGATAGTGATTACTCATCGAATTCGTACTACTTATTAAGTTTTCCCAAATGGCAAAATCATTATACAAACGATACCGGTGCCACATTGTGCACACTGGATATACAATATATGCAGTAGTCATTCAAAGCGAAACAAGTTTGCCTTCACCACAATTTAGCCTATAAACATTCATTCTATTATAGTATTCCTTTATATGACTAAATATTTATGAAATGTACCACTATTGAAAATTTCAGCTGTTAGCACAAAGATATAACAACTTTTGTTTAATTGGTTGTTAACAAAAATCTTCTATGTGGGCATCCCTTGAACCATAATACATGGCCCTACAGAGGATTTTTTTCCTGTTGGGGACTGGGGGAAAATGCAATGATTTAAATGAAACGTCATAGCTTCCGTGCTTCGCGTGGGAGGGGCGAAACAAGAATTCAGACAAGGATTAAGAGTAATAATGTATTGAAACTGAATTCAGAGAAGAACACGATACAACAAATCGTCTTCTTTCTCTAATAATTTAATGAAACGTGAAAGCTTCAGCGCTTCGCGCGGGATGAGCGAAAATGAATTCAGACAAGGATTAAGAGTAATAATGTATTGAAACGTCAAAGCTTCCGCGCTTAGCGCGGTAGGGGGGGGGGGGGGGACTGAATTCAGACAAGGGGAGGGGGAGGGGAAAAACTGAAACATAACTTAGTTCCTGGCCCCGGGTTTACAGGGTTAAATTTGTAAACATTTGGACATTGGCATTTTTATATTTGTCGGTAAATATTGGTGGCTCGACCACTGCTTTGTGCATTGTGCGGCATCAAAGCATAATTTATACAACGTTTCCCGACGTGACAGATCACTTTTCTCTAACTTTTAACCAATCAGAAGGCCTCTTTTTTCCAGGAAGTGCCTGAAAATGCGTCTAATTTGGTTCTAAAATTGCAAATGCTTCTTACTCTGGGAGGGGGCGAGAACCCCCTCCCAGACCCACACCTGCTTGGTCGCTCCGCTCCCTCGCCATTAAAGCCTCGTTCTGTCGCTTCATCGTTTTACATATATTTCACCCCATGCCATTTTGTCCCCCCCCCCCTGGTAAGAAATTCCTGGATCCGCCACTGATGCCCATACCCTTTGAGCTTCGGGGGCTTCGCCCCTTGAACCCCGCCGAGCCTAGACCCCCCCCTTTGAGAAACGTTCAGCGGGGCCTGCATGTTAGAGTGGGGGTGATTCGGATTATTTTTTTGTCAGCCCCCCCAAACGTTTTTGCTCATTACGCCACTGATCACAAGGGAATACTTTTACTATGCTTTTATTTAGAATATGATAATTTGTTTTTACAGCATATCAATCTTGACTTCCATGACATGATCTATGTAATTATGTACTTTTGTAGGAATTCATACATTAAGATGTAAAGCATTATGAATTGGATATGAAAGAGAATTTACACCTTGAAATCCCTAAGTATGTGTAGAGAACTAACACACCATATGTTAGCACTAGACGGATAACTAGAAAGATACAGATACTTGTTTAAATTAAATATAATGTCAACACTTGAAGAAAAACATAGAAATATTCTTAAAACACGCTTTAAAAAAAAACTGAAATGACAATTCTGAGAAAGAGCTATCGCCCTTTCCCGTGTACAACAAATTATGTACAATTCGGAAAAAAAAGATATACTGATTTGACAGTGAAAATAACCAATTGATGATCATTTGTTTCACACTGTATAAAAGTTTAAAAATCAAGTAGCTATAGCATTGCTTAATTTGACATGTCGGGTATACACAGAAAGAAAATGAGACCATGATAATTATGAAGTATAAACTCATAACCTGTTTGTAAATAAATGGGTAATTAGAAATATACAATGATTACAAGCACTTATATGAATATCTACAATTTAAACGATTGAATGAAAGATACCGAAAAAAGGTAAAGGTAAAGGTAAAGGTAAAGGCAAAACATATGTTATAGGTTTGATAAAACATGAATTATTCTCCTTCTCCGCGATTCTAGAACAGTCTATGTACAGTTTTTGTTAGAAGAAAGAAAATTTACAATAATCTACAATTAAGGCACTGTGTTCAAGGAAATTATTCTTCGTTTTCAACGTTGCTAGGTAGGCCCCTCTTTGTCATAAGGGAATCTATACGCATTACTAACGTGACCTGAATAATAATAGTATTAAAACAAAATGAATCCAACCATTGTTGCTAACGTTTAACTGTCTATGTGATTTTATTGATCAAGGTGTCGAAATAAAGAAAGATGACAGAGTTCAATTTATGTAGGACCGACTCAATCTATAATTATGTCGTTATTGCATCAACATCAACTACTTACGAAATATTAACCCACGGCAATTTTAATAGCCTTGCTCGTCAACTATTGAAATATACGAACATGATAATGACGTATTAAGTAAACATGATTTCCATGGGACATACAATAGGGTATTGAAATTCTCTTTGAATTGAAATTGTGAAAATAGTTGCGGTCGTGTTATTTATAGGATTGAATCTAGGTTTCCTTGTTGTGACCCACGCTGTACTTATGTACATTCATTTGTTAGATATTGGTGGATGGCAATCTAAAGCAACTGTAATTTGATATGTAGAGAAAAATGGCAACATGAAATTATGAATTATGGTTATGGAATATACTCATCACCTGTTGGTCATAAAATTAGTCCGTAAATATAAAGGCTAATATAAACTGTATACAATGTAAATAACTAAAGTGAAAACGTATAGAGAG